TCAGAAGAAATCAAAGTCCCTCAGGAGCAGGACTGACCAAGTGCCTGCATTCTCTCTGTTGCATACAAAGAATACCTGTAAAGACTCACCAGAGGTGACACAGCAGGACAGGAACAGGCCCCTGTGAACAGGAGCTCTCACCTGCCAGGACTGTCTGAGCTGCTTTCACAACAGTCCTGTGCTGACTCCGTGCAAGAAAGGAAGACCTGTGTTTATCCACACAGCGCCCCTACTGTGTTAATGGACTACTGAGCACAATCCCCTTCACTCCCTGCCATATTAGTCATTCTCTCTGATTTTACTGGTGTTCCTGGGCTGATAAATTTACAGATACAGTAACAGGATTCTGAATTAGGACGCGACTTAAGAACACGGTTTCAGTTGCAGTGATTTGTGGCTATGAGGTCATTCAGACCAGTCTACTTCCCTTTTGCCAGAGCAGATTTGTAGCTATTATTTCCCATCCCCCAAGCAATGATCACATGCTGTTTGCTTCAGCGCTGCATGTTGCAATACCTCAATGAATAATATACAAGAAGCAGAAAATAAACAAACCCACTCTGCCCCGGGGGATAATGTGTGGTGTGTTTTTCTCTAGGATGATTAAATGTGAGTGCATGTCACAGGATGTAGGGATTGCTCCGCTGGGAACCCAAGAGGATGAGAGCACACAGCTCTCTGTACCCAGGCAAATGGCCAAGGAGAAGGTTAAGGGAGCCCCCAGGCAGACCCAGCATATGCACTGCTGCTCCCTGGATGCTCTGGTCACTTGGCTTTTATATCTGTAAGACACAGACACTTCAGAGATTCCTGGGTCAAGTTCCACACTCTTTCACACCTGGGAGGTTTGAAGGCAACAGATTTCCGTCACGGAACCAGGAAGCTCCACCCGGTCTTTGCCAGCCTCTGCCACCAAAACCATGGGTGAAACCTTCACAGCCAAGAGAACAAGCCCCACAGTGCTCATGACTCGTGGGATGGGCCCACACAGCTTTTGCCAGTGGGATCAGCTGTCCCTTCCTACTGTGGTGTCAGTAAACCTGTTCAAACCACTTCTCTTCTTGCACCTCCTGTACACCTTGAGCAAAGCTTCCCATGATTCTGTGATCTGGCATCTTTGCAACTGCACAGACCACCAGCTTTGGTGGATACAAGGGTCTAACATGCCTGCAAGACAGTTTTGAAAACCAAGATTGCTTTAGAGTATCTCACATTGCTTTGCTTGCCTTTGGTCGTGGAGAGGAAGAATCACACTCAGAAAGTCAGTCAGCCCTGCATTACATCTCAAGACAACAACCACCTGCCCATTCCCACTGGAAACAAGGAAAAATCATCTAAAAAAAAATAAAATTGGTCTCTTCAGCCTCGTGTTCTTGTGCCTGGTCCAAAGTAATGTTAAGCAAAAATGTAAATCTTTTCACCAAAAGCGTGTTCCAGGACACAGAACCACCAATAAATTTAAGACTATTCACATCAGAAAAATCAGTCACCTGTTCTCAAAACCAAAGCCAGCCCACTCTGTCCATAACAGCAAAGTCACACGGGCAACTACTGATGTCCCACATCATTATGTCCATCTCTTGCACCTCTCAGCATGCACATGATATCCTTGTCCAGGCAGTCACATTCATTTCTGAGCAAAGAAATACATTCCCCAAATTAAACAACTTTGTTTCTCTTCAACTCAGCATTCAGGAAAATAAAGAGCGTGGCACAGACCTTCGAAGTGTGGTCCCCTCTCCCATCCACTCAGCAAACATCCAGTTCACTGCCTCTGGATTTCTTTTTTCATCATAGCTGTGCTTGTTAGGTGGAAAAGTATTCTGTTTCTACTACTTAGTGAAAAAGGATTTTCAATAAAAGATAAGCAACAACGTCAGAAAATACTTCTATCACAGAGGTTTCACTCAGTAAACAGGTGTCTGGGAGATTATCTTGCCAATTTAACCAAAGCTGCAAACACCAGACCGGTTCTGGGATGACTAAAATCCCCCTTTTTTCACATAAAAGCCTTTTATCTGCCAAGCGACACTTCCTGCTCTAAAGGCCATTCTCCTCGGTAGTTGTCAACTATGTATTAATCTAATTCATATAAGCCTTAGAAATAAATACTTTCATGTGCAGAATCTTTTGGGAAACTCTGATTCCCTGAGGCTTTAAAGAGCAATTGTTGCTTATCACCGTGGAAATTTCCACTGAATTTAAAGCCTGCTAACAAGGAGAAAAAAGATACATCAAATATTTCAGTGATTAACAAGTTTCCCAGTCTATGTCATCCTCAAAGGATTATCATCTGATCGGCAGGGAAACTGCTAAAGAAGAAAATAAAAGGAAAGTGATCTGACCTAGTAAGGCAGTTCTTGTGTTCCCACTCCTGTCCAAAAATAATGGCACTCGCTTCTAACAGTCCCTTACAGCCAGCAGCAATATCAAACACATTGGGCTTTATTTTAAAGGGTAGATGTTTTGGCAAAGAAAAACGCTACTTAACTGCAAGTAGACAGTTAAACCCCTCCCTGAAGAGCTCTCACAACAAAACCACTCTGTGTGTGGGAGAGGCAAGTTCTGCCAGAGCACTTACAGAAAAGCAGGTAATTGAAGTTTTTCTGCATTTTAACCCCATGCCCGTGCAATAAAAACCTGATTTTAAAAGCCCTGTAAAGCAGAGAACTTCTCTGATGTCTCAGAGTCTGCCACGGCACAGAAACGGCCCCACGAAAGCAGCAAACTGCTGTGTTTTGTACCCCTTGTTGCACACTGTGGGCCTGTGGTAAACGGCACAGTGGGCACGTTAAAAGCCGCCTGGTGATGGAGACTATCAATCCATCAAGAAATCCACGCAAAGAGGAAAATAGTATGTTTCAGTGACGTGGAACAACCTTCAAAGTAGCTAAGAATCACCACGTGTCCCCATCACCTTTGTGTGCCACCACGTTAGAAAGGTGCAGAAACAACCTACTGTACCTGAGTACGAACTGATCCACCGTGGAGTTGTTGGCGATTGTCACGTAAACGTTCACGACCTCCCCTTGTTTGACCGGCTTTGAGGGCAACCAGACAACGATGTTACCATCCAGCCTCAGCTCCGTAAGCTGGGAGGTCTCCTGGCCTCGATAGAGGCTGACAGATCCGATCCTCTGCAGGTGGGACACGGTTTCATCCATGCCATCCTTTCCCGGCCGGATGGCGTTTCCCTTCCTTATATCCTCAGGGGTGCACTCTCCCTTCTCATCCCCCGGCTGGATGGTGTAGTAAAGCTCCACAGGGCTCCCTTCGAACTGATCCGGTGGCTTTTTACGGCCCGTGACGACCGTGGGGGGGTTGAACCAGCTGGGCAGGAGCTCCAGCTCTGCCACGCACAGCCCCAGGTCCCCTCTGAGCCGGCAGCTGCCTCGCACTTCCCGCGTCTCCCGGAAGGCGAACACCCGCAGGCAGGGCAGGCGCTCCGTGGTGCTGTAGTCATCCCAGTCCCTGCCCACGATGTAGAACAGCACCTGCACCTTGGGCTTGCTCGGGTAAATTTTGTTGCTCATGATGTAGGCCTGAAGCTTCCAGTTGTAAGTAAACTTGTTGGCAGATCCAAAAGGGCTGGAGGTCAACATGAGCTCCTGGGGCACGACTTGTTCAACGGAGAAGGGTCCGTAGCTGGCGTTTAGTACAGGCGGTCTCTTGGCTTTGTATGGGAAGAAGGATTCCACCCTGGATTGCAAACTGGAGTTTCTCATGAAGTCCTGGTTGGCTTCTTTGAGAAAGAAAGATGTTTCATCGTTGGAGATCCGATAGCTCACAGGTAGGTACGTTGGCAACGAAGAAAATCTCTGATTATTGTCCAAGACCCCTCGACACTCTGTCACTAACAAAAGAAAAGGGGATCGAGTTAGATCAAATCTGCTCAGAGGTTAACAGGGACATTTCGCACAACACCCAGGTGTTCACCTTCCCCACTCTCTTCTGGTCACACCACCCCCTTCTGAACTTTCCACCCACTTAGAAACTTCCCTCCTGTCCTGTTCAGTTACAGGGCTCATGAGGCACTGGGTACCTCAGTGGAGTCCACTGACCCACAGCTCCCCAGGACTGCTGAGCACCATCCCTGCAGGAACGCTGGCCAGGAGATCCAAGAGAGCTTCTGTTCCATGGGCAAAGACAGAAGACTGACCCCACCCCCTCCCCATTTCACTCAGGAAACCTTGCTCTTGTATTACTGTTTCTGGCACTGTGGTCTATCTACACCTCTATAATTTAATATCGACACTACCTCAGTTTTCTAAGTTATTTCAGTGCAGGTGCACACCACAGGCTAGGAATATTTCAACAAGTGCTAATATATAAGATGCACACAGAGAGAAATTAGAACATACTGGCCAATCTCAAGTTTCAGCTGAATATCAGACCCCTTTTGACCTGAATGTTATTTTCCTATTAAAAAGGTTAAGGGCAGTTATTGTTGAAAGGTAAAATTTATTATCTAAATTAGGTAGATAACAGTGGAGAACAGTTAAAATACATGTTGATCTCCAAAATAGCCTACAGAGACCCTCTCTCACCAGCTTCCTCACAAAGGGCTGCACTTTAGGATTTCTGCAGATCATATCTGCTGCCCTGGCATGTCTGGCTGCTGGCAGGCTAATTACAC